TTTCCAAAATTATTCTTTTTGGAAATTCATTTATTTGACTTTCACATTTATGCTAAAATATAGCTAATATAATGTTTGCATATTTTTACAAATTTATTTAGTATTGTTAAAACTAAATTGCATATAATTGCAATATTAGCCTCTTTTAAGATTTAATTGCGTTTATATTCATGAATATTAAGTCCAATATTTTTTAATGGTTAATTATATGTTATAAATCATGTTAGTACTTTTAATTTATTTCTATAAATTAATTTACTATTTTTATAAAAATGAAAAGGGAAAATTGGCTATTTAAAATCTAGCCCAATTGCATTTCAATTATAGCCTGAATTCTACCCCAATTTGAACCCAATTTCCCCTGGCCCAATTTCCTTTAAATCCGACCCCCTAACCATTTAAATTACCCAACCCGGACTCCCCACCTAACCCCTTTAAGCCCAGCCGTTGATCGTTTAGATCAACGGCTCCCATTACCCTTTTCCTTAATTTATCCTAAATGACCCCCAAAACCCTATCATTTGATACAACCAGCCACCTCTGAATCCCTCTTCCTCTCAAAATCTCTCTGCAACACCACCTAAACCCTAGCCATCGCCACCATAATCCACCTTAACACCCACTTGATTCATGGCCTTCCGTGGTCATTTGAGGCTTGTACCGGCCTTCCATGGCTTCTATATGTTTGGTTCTATGGTTTCATAACCAGACTTCGAAGGAGTTTGGTCCAGTCCTGCTTAACGGGTGTTCATGGCCTTTCTCCGACCATCCACGACCTTTTCTGGCCATTCATGGCCTTTCGAGATGGGTCCTTGATCTTTTCTGGTTAGATCGTTAACTTTCGAGATCTTTCTCATTTTCTTTTGGGTTTCCTGAAACCCTAATCTCTATGATCTTTCGATTTCTTTCAGATCTATCTTAGATCTGTGCTAACCATGAACTTTTTAGCATTTTTTTTCTCGAAGTTTCTTCAACGTTGTTTTCAAAACGACTCTTCAATTGTTCTGATTGGGGTTTTCCTTTAAAGTTATTTCAAAATCTTTCCTTTGATTCTCGATGTTGTTTTATGACTTTACTATGTTCGAACTGTTTGTTATGCTTTCCTTCTACTTGAGTCAGCATGTTGAAAACCCTAATTTCTTTTAGGTCTCATTCGAATCCTGAAGCTGTTTGTTTAAATGTATACTTGTTTAATTAAGTTCCTCTTTCTTGTTTGACTTATTTGTGTTACCATTTTTAAAACTCGATTGTTGTTGAAAGGCCCTAGGCTTTGGGGTCTGAAATTGTTTGAGTACTTGACTAGACTGAAAGCTTTTATTTCAGAATCTTCTTTTCTTTTTGTGATTCATCTCATTCTGGGTTTTTATTATCTTTAAAACTCGACTATGCATGAAACCCTAACCTTTCAAAAGGTTTTCTCACCTGCTAATATGATACCTTTGCATGTTTCTGATAATCTGTTCTTCCCTGTTGATTCAATATAACTTGACCTACTATGCTTTGAATGCTTGCTTTACTACTGAACCCTAGCTAATTTCTGCCATTACTGCATATTTGTGATTATCTCTTTTGTCAATATGTTTGGCCTCACATGTCTGATGTCCCTGTTCACTTTATTTATATACTGAAGTGCATAAGCATGTTTCTTCTTTGATTGATCTCAATCGTGTGACTAATTTCAAAACTTTTCTTTTATGGACTCTAATTTCACTCGCCTCTTAAAGTTACTTGATTCTTTCCTTATTTTGCCTTATTGAATCCTTTTCCAAAAAATAAGCATATTTCTGTACTTAGACTTGATTACTTACTCAATGTTTTTACTACTTCTTTTATGGAAATAATCAGTTTGTCTCTAAATTGATCTTCCTTCCTTATTTTGAATCTGTTATTACCCGTTAAACAGTGACTCCTTAATTAAAGGGAGTCACTTGTGTAATTGATTCTAACTGTTAATTGTTTCTATATTTGTATTAAACTTTACTTGTTACCTTACTTCTGACTCGTTTTCAGAAGCTATAAATACCATGCACCTTCTCCTCTTTCAAACACATGAACAAACCTTGAGTTCAGAATACACACTTCACTAAAAAACTCTCTCTCTCTCTTTTCTCTGTTACTATTTGGTTGCTGCCTTGTCAAGCCGGCTGAAAGCCAAAGTTAGGTTGTGGAAATTTGCCTGCTTTTCTTTCTGCATTTGCTTCTTTACTGGTATGTTCAATTAATCTTCCAGCATCAACAACAACATGTTTCTTTACTATTTCCTTCACTCTTGAATGTTTCCTGCTTTTATTTAATCAAGTTTCATTCTTAAAAGCATGTTATAAATCAATGTGTTTTCTTTATGTATGAATTTTGTCAGTCACTTATTATGACTTGTGAATCCCAAACCCTATATCCCCTCTATGAGTTTTGTCTCTGGCTGGTTTATGGGCATGCGAGCACCATCTATTGTTGTGCATGTCCAAACCTGACTCTTTCTAGGGTCATATGCTCCCTGCAATGTATTCCCAAACCTCTGACCCCTTTGTGTAAAATGTTGATTCTGTGTAGTATTAGCTGCTACTACTGTTTTCCAATCACACTAACCTCTCTCTATTCTCAACTTAGTTTTAAACCTCTAGTTCTGCACTCCCACTATACTCTTAGACTTAGGTTCTGCCCCTATTGTATGAGTCTTGCCTTGGGACCCATGAGTTCCCTCTAGACTTGGACATATAAGGGTTGGTCCTTCCACACTGCACTCATCTCTATCTGGTTTCGCAAACTGGGTGTAAGCACTGCCCGGAGTCCCTTGAGACCCTTAGGGAACTTTGACATACCCAGGTCTGAGAAAGGCTTTGAAACAAATGGCATTTGAAGTGGTTTGTGCCATAACTCAGAAAGGAAGTCGGGAATTAGGCTTCCTCTGATTGTAATTTCTTCTTTTACAATTTTTTGATGTAATTCATTACTTGGTTTGTAATAATTTGTAATAGACATTGGGGTTGGCTAGTGAAAAAGAGGATGGGTAGTTATGCATGTTTAGCTATTAGAAGGGTAGAGATCATGCCTATAGGATCTATTCTTTTAAAACTCTGTATGTTGCAGTTTTACATCTAGGGATCATGCCTATAAGATCTGTTCCTTTAATTTTGTATGCTTAAAATCAGTATTTTTATAGAAATCATGTCTATAGGAATTTTTAGTATATCCTACCATGCTTCGTTTCACGTTAAACTAGATACCATGTCTATAGGAACTGGAAAATCGGCAATACTAGATATCATGTCTATAGGAACTGAAAAATTGGCAATAATAGATACCATGCCTATAGGATCTGAAACCAGCGTAATCAAAATCAGTTTATCTCGTACTATTTTAAACTAGTCTCAAACAACCTACTTTTCTTTTATTAACTCGGTTTAGAAATCGTGCCTATTGGATCTCAAACCGCTCGATTTTTTTTAAAACTAGTCGCTGCTTTGCTATACTTCTAAATCAGTAATAGATAGCATGTTTATAGGATCTCGCCTAAACACTTAGGCAAAACTTAGGTGATAACATAAAAACTGATTTCGCCTTTGTTAATTAATGACTGATACAATCAGCAGGCAAGCCTGATTCGGACTTCCTATCTTAGTCATGTACCAAACTGGTTTGCCTCGACAATTGGAACTCTCCTTACCTTAGTATTTTAAATTCAGACTCTGCTTGTGTTTAAGTCATGCTATTTATGTTCTTTGTTTGAGGAGGTACGCATGAGCCTTTTATTTGTTTACATGTTTCCCCTAATGTGCAGTCCTATATGTTTTGTATGTCGCCTTAGCTTTTTCACCTTTTAAAATCTAAAGTCAGCCTAATATCCCTCCCCTTTAGGAATAGTAGTCCTAAACTCTTCGGGACTGATAGGAAGGGACGGGTAGTAGCATGCAATAGAGGTCGAGACCATTCTGCGCTTTAATACCTTAACAGGGTGGGAAGGGTAGATATGGATATGATGGCCGGTGCGCTAATACCACGTGTATCCCCTCTTTTGATGAGTGTCATACCGGGCATTGCATTGATGTGATCCATATTATAAATAAACCTAGGACCTTTTTTCTTCTCATTTGCAACTTCTTTTCAAAATCCGCCTTTTAATTGCTCTTTCAAACTCTTATGTGTTTAAACTTAAATCTCCTACTATTTGATCCTCTACCTACCTATTTGCTAATTGTACAAAATTTACAAAATTATCTGGCCGGGAACCACACTAGTGGATCCTGAGGAGTGTCTAACACCTTCCCCTTAGGATAATTTCAAGCTCTTACCCTATCTCTGGTTATCAAACAAACTTAAAAGTAAACCTCATAGGTATCCTAATGCACCTTAAATCATTAGGTGGCGACTCTTCAAAAAATGCAAACCTAGTTCCTAAAAAGAATGAGTTGTCTTATACCCAAAATGTCATAAATCCGATTTTTCGTTGCAAAGAGGGAAAAAAGGGGCACGACAACATCTTTAACTTAAAATCATAAAATTTAAAAGTCTTATTTATACTACTAAACTTTGTATCTAATCAAATTATGACATGCAAAGCAAAGCAGAGGGCATAGTATTTTATGACCAACTGAATGCAAAATACAAGGAACTATTTTGACGAAATCTAACTGTCGTGCCAGCGTAATCGGTGTCCCTTTTCAAAAAAGAGTGACAACACTTTTATCATTAAATCGTAGTGAATTAATATATATTTTAATCTTATTTTATGACTTAATCATAAAAAATTAATATAGTTTGATAAAACATCAAATGTGAATAAACGTATATCCTTCATTAACCATTAAATTACATCCTTGAATGTGCCATTAAAAGAACCTTCTTGGCGAAGGATATTTAGATCCACACTTTCGTGATTAAGTCATATGCCACTATTTAGTGAACATATATCCAGCTACAGGAAGCTAATTAAATACTGCGTATAAAAAAATTCAGAAAAGTAAATAAATCATATTAGGGAATAATTTGACTTCATTTCCTCATTAAAAAGTTCCTTGTTGATTGCTTCTGATTAATTCCTCCATTGATGAAGAGCAACAAGAAGATATTGAAAATGACTTGATTTCGTCTTCTAATTTCTCTCTATCAATAATAATAAAAGTTTGATCCATAGATAATGATCTCTTCAACCCCATCACTAATTTTCTTTCTGTTGATCTAATTCTCTCCATAGGCAATTCCAATGATGCACTATGGCAATGCAACCTACAAGATTGTGATGGTAATTGTACCTGATCAGATGATGAAGCAGTACGATACTCGAGGTTGACTTGATTTTTGTGATCTTGATCTTGAACTTGAACATCAATCGTGTTGCTTTCATCATTGACACATGGCGGAGAATTAGATGGTAGTGGAACGATTGTCACATCTGGCTTATCTTTCTCCTCGTAGTTTATTGTCTCTATTATAGGAGATCGACAAATCGGGCAATTTATGTGGCCAATAAGCCACTTGTCTATGCATGTGACATGAAAAATATGCCTACAATTAGGCAAAAATCGAACTATCTCACCTTCTTCCAATTCACCTAAGCAAACGGCACACTCATTCTGATCTACGCGACATAAATCTTGTTTATGAATCGAATAAACAACGAGAGGAATTGATTCAATAATCTTCTGCTCTATGCCAATGGTTAAATGGGGTTCATGGAACGATTGTCCAATATTGTTTCTGATATGTGATCTACTTCTCCTTATGCAAAATCTTAACAAAATAAAGTGGTAAATCACTAAAGCCAAGGCAGTGCAAACTATGCCTAACATTGAAATAAGAAGAGGGGCTATGAAAGATCTTGTTGAAGAAAGTATTGGAGGAGCTCCTATATTTTCCATGGCTCATAATTCTCAAAAAAAAAATTGTATTGGAGTTGTAGTTTGTGCTATGTGTGCTTTAAAGAGAAGTGAGAGGTTCTGTTTTTAGAAGGAAAATGAAACAATTCTAAAATAGTTAAGTTGAACAGACCTTTCTTCTTGCCATTTATATGAGCACCCGAAAACTTAAAAAAACTAAAATTATAGGCAAAGTTGAAAACACCTTTATTCTTGCCATTTATATAAGCACCCAAAAGGTTAAAAAACTAATTTTGTTATATTTGATACTAGTATTAGCACTCGCACAAATGCGCGGACACTAACCATATTAAATATTTGAGTTATTTGGATTATACGTAAAAAAAATTAAAATTTAAACTTTCTCGATAAATATAGATAATCATTAGATATTAATTAAGACATGAAAATGATTAAACATTTCTCAAATCTCCTAGGCTATAATTCTGTTTTTCCTTTTTAGTATCATTCTCGCCGGTGTCATTGGATAAAAAAATAGTCAGAAAGCAAAATAATAACTCATATTTATGGCAAAACAATCAAAGGTTGAGACTATGAATGACTCTTTGTATACGACTTGACTCTTTTACTACTGCTTGAACTCTTATTTGGTGTGTTGATATATTCTAAAATTATTTCTATTTTAAATTTTCAGTTTCTAAAATTTTATTTTTCAATAATAATTGTTTTTATAACAATGTAAGTGAAAATATTATCCTTAATTCAAAACTCATTTTAGTCGGCTATCTAAAATTTAAAAAGTTCTTTAGCCAGTGATTTTCTTTCTAGTATGACTCCATTTTGATATTTGACATTAACCATGTTAAATATGTGAGTTATTTGAATTATATGTAAATAACCTTAAAATTCAAACGTTCTAGGTAATTATAGATATCGTTAGATATTGTTTATGAAACACTACATGAAAAAAGGCTAACATTTTCTCAAATCTCGTAGTGATAATTTTATTTTTGCATCATTCTTATTGGTGTCATTGGAACCTAAAAATAGTCACGAAATAATAACTCGTATTTATGAGCTCTGGAAAAGCACAAAGGTTGGCACAATATGAACGATTCTTTGGTTACGACGTGACTCTTTTACTACTACTTAAATTCTTATTTGGTATGCTATTATGCTTAAAACAAATATTTCTATTTTAAAATTTCAATTTCTACAACATTATATATATTTCAATAAAATAATTATTNAACTAAAATTATAGGCAAAGTTGAAAACACCTTTATTCTTGCCATTTATATAAGCACCCAAAAGGTTAAAAAACTAATTTTGTTATATTTGATACTAGTATTAGCACTCGCACAAATGCGCGGACACTAACCATATTAAATATTTGAGTTATTTGGATTATACGTAAAAAAAATTAAAATTTAAACTTTCTCGATAAATATAGATAATCATTAGATATTAATTAAGACATGAAAATGATTAAACATTTCTCAAATCTCCTAGGCTATAATTCTGTTTTTCCTTTTTAGTATCATTCTCGCCGGTGTCATTGGATAAAAAAATAGTCAGAAAGCAAAATAATAACTCATATTTATGGCAAAACAATCAAAGGTTGAGACTATGAATGACTCTTTGTATACGACTTGACTCTTTTACTACTGCTTGAACTCTTATTTGGTGTGTTGATATATTCTAAAATTATTTCTATTTTAAATTTTCAGTTTCTAAAATTTTATTTTTCAATAATAATTGTTTTTATAACAATGTAAGTGAAAATATTATCCNAAATATTATATCACTTTGTTAGCAATAGTGATTTTTTTAAAAACGACACACAATGTAAATAAAAAAAATATTCTAAGATATCCTTATCTTATAATCTATGTATTTGAGTTGAAAAAAATATTTGAAATCGATGAGATCATCTCCCAAATTCTTTACACTCAACAAAGATGAAACAGAAGAAGAAATTCGTTGTCGTCTCTTATTTCTGGTTTTTAGATTTTTCATACATTTTTTCTATATTTATTTTCTTTTATCCTATTTTTTTTATGTTTTTTTTGTTACACAAAATTAAGTTATTTCGTAATTCTTTGCACGAAAACCCTTCGTGTTTCCGAACAAAGAGGGGCAGCTGTGAGCACGTGATTTTTGTTTCGCACGACAATCGCTCCAAAAAGAAATAAAAAATAATAATTGGCCCTGCTGTACAATTTTGGATTTCTGTGCGGCACCTTGTTGATTTATTTGTGACTTCGGCCCATTTTTATTTATTTACTTT